GCTGTTTGGCCAGTTTCTACTCTTAAGTTTAAGTGAGATTTTAGGAAGGCCCCTGGTCCCATTTCTGTTGTGAAAAATTCTCCTTACCCTAATTGCCTTCTTCCTCAGCTTGCCTCCTCCCTCTCTCTCCTCTTCCTTACTCTCTCCTTCCCTCTCCTCAGCCCCAGATTTCTTATAAACCAATGAAAGTACCGTTTCCTCCACATTGGCCTACAGCTGCACACCTTGCCTTGATCACTGGGGAGGTAGCCTGGGTGCTCATCTTATCACTTTCACTGGTCAGTCGCTGATATTTGATGCAGAAGCAGATGTTGGGTTGTCATTAATTATTTGTTCCTTATTTCTTTTCTCATAAGAAAAACAGTAATGTTCCCTTCCTTCTGGTTGGGAGTACTCGAGATTCTTGAAGCATTTAGATGCAGCAGAAAAACCTCCCCGGGGGTCACTGGAGTGAGCCATTTTAACTTCCCACAAGGAGTTCTGTTGTCACTAACAATTATCTTCTCTGTGGCCTCCTCATCACAGACTTCAGACACTAGAAGAAGACTGAGATATAAATTAAGCTATGTCACAGTATGCTGTGTTGCATAAACAGACAGTATTTAGGGGGCCTGAAAGGTGGAAGTGTTCTTGTTACCTAGAGGACTGGGGGGAAAGTGGGGTCATGAGAATGTTTTTTTAGATTATTTTTTCATTGTTTTTAGAATAAGAAAACCTTGACCCTGCTTGTATTTAGGCTTAAATGGCCATGGGCGCTGGGAACACTGCTGAGAAGAAGAAGGAAGCACACAGATGTTTATGAGCCATGTTTTAACCGGGAGTGGGGGAGAAAAGATGGGCATCATCTCTGGGGAAAAGCGATTGACTTGTCTATCTTTCTGGCTGTGCTGTTTTATAATCTATTGCTGTGATAAAACACTGACCCAAACCAGCCTAAGGTGGACAGTGTTTATTACATCTTACAGGTTAGAGTCTATCATCAAGAGAAGCCGGGGCAGGAGCTGGGACAGGAGCCTGGAGGCAGGAACTAGCACAGAAACCACAAAGGAATGCTGCTTGCTCTCTACACTACAGCTTGCTTTTTTTTTTTTTTTAAAGACAACCCAGGGCCACTCAGGAGTGGCACCAACCCACAGACATGCTCAAAGGCCAACCTGATGGAGGCCATTCTTTCTTTGGAGGGTCCCTCTCCCCAGGTGACTCTAGTTTGTGTCATGTTGACAAAAGCTAACCAGCACTGAGAAATGGTGTTTGTTGTAGCAAGGTTGTAAAGTTGCAAAGAGGAGATCATGGGGCAAGAGGGCCAGGCAGGACTTCCTGTAAGCACTGGCCCTGAATGCTTTCCTTGAATACATGGGCGTAGAAGACTCTGGGTCCAGGGAGAGGGGACTTGGGAGGAGAATCGCCTTAGGGAATGCCACAGTCTTATCAACCCCACTTTTCCCTGGTTGACTGGTAACAAGTTCTATGACCTTTCTTCTGTTCGAATGTTTGTCTCTACAAACTACTTCAGACCATCTCTGATGCCCCTTTATATCCAGCTTACAAATAGCAACAGGCAGAATATAGCACAGACCTTTTATTGTTCAGCGCTTTATAGCCTTTGATCCTGTCTTCTTAGTTTCTCCTTTATATGTTTTCACTTTCATAACTCACTAAATTGAAATGTTTAAGCATTTCCCCCTCCGGTAGCCAAAGAGAAAACAGAGTGGCAGCTAATACAGTAATAAATTTATCTATAGCCACAGGAGATAAACTTCAATGCAAGGTAGCCATAAAGTACAGCTCCCAGGCTTGGAGAAAATGCAATGATGTTTCACAAATAAGAGAATTTTAAGACGGTCCCAGCAGCAAATAAGGATAAGCTATAAGTCATAACTAAGGGCACACAGCCAGCATCAGAGCTCCTTGTCCATGGACACTGTGAACTAAAAAGGGATTTAGCAGTTTGGTGTTGGTGTCACCTTGCACCCTATGGGGCTGCTTAGAATTCACTGTGTGGAGATTTTCACCCCTCCTGAAAGTTTGCCTCTTACATCTCCTGACACCTCTTGATTTGCTGACAGCCTTTGATAAGTCACCAAGGAAACACAGAGGTACCAATTTGAAGGTGTCAGAGAAGACCTTAGAAAAGAAAAGTAGGGCACAGGGGCTACTCCCACAGCCTGGGAAGTGTGGGTGTTCCCCAATGCTAGGGATGATTTCTTCTTGATTCACAGCTGATCATTAAAGAAATCTGAAGTCTTCCCGGGGTCCTTTGTAGGTTTTGTTTCAGGTTTTCATCTCAGGTGTCACTTGAGCAACACACACACACACACACACACACACACACACACGTGCTGTTTATCTTTATTTGAAATTCTATTGTCTGTCTCTATCGTGTGTGTGTGTGTGTTCACATGCACGTGCAATAAATGGACTGTTGCCAATGGAATGCTGTCATTATCTATTTATCACTGTTGTCATTAAATAAGATAGATATTTCTGAGTGTGTAATTTTGTAGCCTGTATACAGGTTGTGGCCAGGGGTTCAGCCCTGAACACTTCCCAGGAGGAGTTGAGGGAGGGCTTTGTTAACATACCTGCACTGGGCAGCTTGGGAGCCTGGTAGGTCAGCTTGCTCTGGCAGCTGTAGGGAGACACTGTAGGGAGAGAGACATGCAAGAGTCAATCAAGCCTGTGGAAGGAAGGAGCGCTGGAGAAAGCTCCTCAGGCTCCAAGTGTGTGAAGGTTCAATACCACATAAGGGTTAGACTTTAGTGGATCAGTCTCTGGAAGCTCTGGAAAGATGGGAGAGTAAGAAGAGACCTGGTTTGTTCTTTATTTTATAAACAGGTGAGATGAAGGGCAGTGAAGGCTCCTGGGAAACAAAGAAAGAATGCTGTGGCCTTGTGCTTGCTTCTTGAGCTTCTTACTGCTAGGTGCTTCTGGCATCTGCTTTCTTTTTTGATGGAGTGTGCGGAGAAATACAAGCCAGAGCAGAAACTTATTTCTGGGCTGATGCTACTTTGTAAATGTATCCCTCAGCAAGGAGCTTGAACAGTCAGTCTTAACACTGACATAGAGTAGTATCTATACTTAGAGTGCTAACTTTAATGTCTCATCTGAGCACATAGCCCTTAAAACTGCCCAGAGTACGGCACATGCCAGGTATTTTATTCTTATTTTTAATTTTGACACATTCATTGGTTTATTTATCCACCTAATCTCTATGAATTTGCTTTGAAAACACTCTGGAGCAATATGATTTAGACTGCCATTAGTACACTTTACTGGCAAAATTTAATAGACTTTTATACTTCCTTTTCTTAAGTCCTCTTGGACCAAATACTTGCCCCTTGATGTAAAGTCTAACCATCAAATTGGAAGATTTTACTTCTGGGAATGTGGAGCAGTGTTACTCTAAAGTATGACATGGATTGTCATCCGGAAAAACAGATATAAAATACTAGGAAACAGTGTGAACTGCATTTGAATACAAACACAAAAACACCTTCAAATACCTCTACTGTGAAATTTTAATCTGCTCATTGCTTCCCTCACCATGAAATTACTATGAAATAACTGGGCCACACCCTTAAATTAGAGGAATAACGTTATCAATTACTTTATTCATTCCTGTGACCAAATACCCAATTAGAAAACTTGGGATGAGAAAGGGCTCATTTTGCTCACAGTTTCCCGAGTTCATTTCATTATGTGGGCAGGGTGTAAAGGACCAGCACAGTGGGCAGGAAGCAGAGAAAAGCAAATACTGGAACAGACCCAGAAAAGTCAGCACCTAGGCCCCACACCTGGGGCTGCCTCTTTCCCTTCATCACATCCCGGCTGCGCCACCATACAATGAACCTGTCAAGGTGTGAATCCGTTTATTCCTTCAGGGTGCTCATGATCCCATGGTCTCTGGAAACACAGCCACAGCTTCACTCAACTGCTGCTTTGTGTAACGGTGTTGGCGATCAAAACATCACAAGTAACCCTGTTTTGAATATAATGAACACAAAGTATGCTATATGCATATTAATTGTGTGACTGTGTTTTATTATATAAATATTTATAGATTTAGCACTCATGCCAAAACTTTAATTTCTGTTTCCTTGTGTAGAATGAATGATGTGTTTCTTCGGTGCCAGGGCTCTTTGAACAAGAGCTGGACAGATCCATTGTATTGTGAGAAGAGTCTTTGGTGTTTGGGGAGGAAAGTGGAGTACAGGAAATGATAATTTTATGTGGGAAGTTTTTGTTGGTGCTATTGTTCCTTACTTTTTCCCTTTGAGGAGCCAGGCAAGTGGTCCTTGATGAAGGACATGTACACCTGTTCTGATGCAATTTAATGAGTATCCCTGATACTGAAGGTTTTTATTCGGCCTAAGAGCAAACTTTTGGATGGTGGAAAGGTATTGGACCCACCACGATTACCAAGCTGCGTGTCTGCAACCCCACTATAATACAGCTTTGTGAATCTGATTGAAGCCACAGAAGCCAATTCATGAAGTTATAGGAGATTACAAGCCCTACATTTCCTCCTCAAGGTTCCTGGGCATTAAATTTCAATAGCACTGTGTATTCTTGAAAGAACACACTCATAAATTATTTAAATCATTTTCCCTTGGTTCACAGAAAACCAATTTTGACTAGTCCATAAATTAGATCAGTGTTGTTCTTTTTCTTAAGAAGACAATTTACTGGAAATGCGTTTGCGGTATTGTGATTGTGCGGTTAGAGTAATGAATGGCAGTCATGGAGGACTAAGCAGGCGGTGATCCAATCCCTGCACTGCTGTGGACAGGTGTATAACTTCCATAGAGTTAAACTGATAACTTTTCAGTTCCCCTCTAGAGGGGCTCTGGTGAGAACTGAATGAATGAAGGTTTGTGAAAGTAATTTGAAAGATTTTTTTTTTAAGCACTAAAAATAACTAAACTTAGTGACTAAACGTCTTGAAGACATTTTGGTAGAAGAAATGGAATGAACATTGACGGCCTTGGTTGGTGTTTCAGGGAACCAGGGAAACTCTTAGTCGGCACTGCACCACCCTTGGAGATGCCCTTCGGAAGGAAAATGACTTTGCTCTTATAATCGATGGGAAGACCCTCAAATATGCCTTAACCTTCGGAGTCCGGCAGTATTTCCTGGACTTAGCTTTGTCCTGCAAAGCTGTCATTTGCTGCAGGTAAGTCATCCCCAACATTGTCCAATTGCAACAAAAGTGACTTTATCCTAACAGTATCCTTTAATGATTTTATTTTAAGTATGTGTATATGTAAGGGCAAGTATGTGCACATGTGTTCAGGGCCCAGGGAGGCCACGGGTACTGTATCCCCTGAAGCTGGAATTACAGGCAGCTGGGTGCTAGGAACAGAGAGCTTGGGTCTCTGGGAGAGCCCCATCTTTTAATTTTTAGAAGTTCCAAACTGTTTTGTTTTTTTTTAATCTAGAAATTACAAGTTAGGCTAGTTCATTCATCAGAGTTCCAAGGTTCACAAACTGAGATGGGTTTATTAGCAGAGTTTTTAAAAGTGACTCCTAACAATGAGTATTAAATGCTTTTCGTAATTTGAAGCCACCAGCTCTTTGCCATTTATCTGTATATAAAGTCAGTCAATGGCAACCAGGAAGGTGTTGCAGGCCAGTAATCCCAGCTACTTAAGAGGCAAAAGCCAAAATGTAGCAAGTTTAAGGTCTGCTTGGGCAATTTAGGGAGCGAGCATACATACATACATACATACATATTACATACATACATATGCAAACAAACTCTCAAGAGGGCTATGAATGTAGTTTACTGGGTTTTGCATAACAGTGCAGCACTCTGGCTTCAAAGCCCTGTACTAAAAAAAAAGTCATAGAACCAGAGCCGTAGCTCAGTGACAGAGTGAGGTCTTAGCTGTAGCTTTGATCTTCAGCACCAAAAGGGGAGTGTGAATTATTTATCTGTATTCCATCATGGTTCACTTATGGAAGAGACCCTGTGTCTTTATTTAGATGGCTCCAACTGCTAGAATTTATTTTATGGAGATAGCATGTTGGGAGGTACAAACTGAGTCATTCTCCAAATAGCTGAATATTTTTCTGATGGCTGTTTATTTACTCTAAGCCTCTGGCCTACTAACTTATAAAATTGCTCATATTCTAGATTTAAATCTGTCTTTGAGTTATGACAGCCTAATGCATAAAAGTGCCTTTATGCACACCACTTAGTTCTAGCCTGTCTGGCTTTCTTGTAGGAAATATTCTGTTCTCCCCAAATTTAAAGTACTCAGGAGCATTGCCCAGACTCCTCTCTTGGAGGTTACCTCAGCTAGGGATTTTCCTCTGTCATCCACTGACTGAATCTTACCAGCCGGTCACTATGGATCCAGAGCCAGCTGGTACTTCCTTAACTCACTTTCTCTTCCAGGGAGACAAAACATGAGTGGGGCTTCTTGGGAATTTTTCACAGCTTGTGTTCTGGCCATCACCCTTAACTTTCTTTTCTTTGCTCTAACTACTTTTAAAAGTTCTATTTACTACTAAAGGAAGGTTCTTCCTTTTAAACCATTTTTTATCTCAGCTTAGCTGCTTAATATGTATGTCTTGAATTTCCACTGAAATTTACTTCTTGGAGTATATACAAACCACACCCTGTAAGGATCACGGACATATAAGCGCCATTTTGACCTACAGAATGGTATTATCCACAGAGAATTAAGACTTGCCTGATGTCTTCGGGCATCTAGTTATTTTAGCTATAGAATCTCTTCTTCTCTGTGGGATATTACCAATATGGCTGAGATTCTTGAGTGATGTATTATGTAGATGCTTAGTGTTTATAACAGACCTGTTCTTTATCACAAACATGGAGATTATCTTCTACTCTTGTTTTTGCTTGGGCATCTTAAAATCTGGGGCTATGGTAACTTTTCTTGGTTTCTTGCTGATGTCTTGACAGGGGCTTACCAATGTTTAGCTCTCACAATCTTCCTTCAGGATAATTTTGTGCTATGTTTAGCCATTCAGTCACTTTCACTAATGGAATGGTGAGTATGAACAGACAATTGCTCAAAAGCTGGTGAGTGTTACAACTTCTGGATGCTACTCGGAAACAGATTGCAGACCAGAAAACAGTGATGGTTAGATAAAGCAGCTTGAGCTAGAGACAGGCCTACTGTGCGCTGGGCATGGGCATTACCCTTGGCAGGACAACTATGACTTGATGCCTGCTCTCCTTGCTGCCTCCATCCACTCTAGACTAAGCAGAACCAGTTGGTCTGAAAGATGAAGGAGACCAGTTTCCCTGATGCAGTCATGGTGGCAGAACTTAACACAGTACCTCCCACCATTCCTCAAAAAGACCTACCACAGAATTCAGCACTAGAAAGCAGAGTCAAGGGAGACGAAATATGTTCTGTGCTTGTGAAATTCTCTCTGAAGATCCTTGTCCCAGAGGATCATAAGTCATATGGACCCAGAGCTCTTCCAGGCTAGAGATCCTGGGCGGGACTCAGCCTGCTGTCCCCACGCAGCTTAGTGCTGACACTGAGTTTAAAAGATGTGTGTGGCTGCTTCCTCCCTCCTTGGCCCCATCTATTTTATTAATGTTTGGGGGCCTTGAATGGCAGACACTGGATTCTAGTCAGGATTTTGTTGTTGTTTTAATAAAATATCTTTCTTTGGCTTTATTATTATTATTATTCTAATTACCTTCATACGAATTTCCCTAAAGAGAAGCTTCTGGCCTGGCTCTGCGGCTGGTTTAAACCCATAATTACGTCCGTGCCACAGCTGGATTAATGTCTGTGCACCTTCTTGGCCTAGTGCCTCTTCACATTTAAACTGCTGGCACAGATCATGTTTTCTCATTCCTCGTACTAATCCCTAGTGTAATGACGGTGTTCCTATCACAGGTTGGGAATGTGGATTGAGCCTGTGGAGGGCCCTTGGAGAATGAACCCCAGGGTCACTCTTCATTTCTCTTATGATGATCGCCCAGCATCAGGAAACTAAGAGTAATGCTCAGATGAATATTGACTATTATTTCAAAATGCTGTATAATACTGTTTCCCAAGTATCTTCATGCCATGCTAACCCCTTTGAGGTTTTCCTTCAAATTGAAACTCCTTTCCAACCTGCTGCTTGTCGGTCCACACACATGAAGGTAATTCAGAATAGAACCGTCCTCTGCAGTCCCCTGGAGCCTCGAGGAAAGCCTTCCCAGAACAGATAATGAGTGCCCCATTCATTCCATCTTCAGGACTCTATCAGCTTTCTTCTGACATCAGCACCCAGGGCAGAAAGAGTTTTTAGCATTTGCCTAATTGCCACAGTTACAAAGATGAGATCTTGGCCCCCAGAGCCTCCCACTGAATTCAAAGAAGCTGCTGGCCTCTGTCAGTAGTCATTTCATCCCTCACCCACCGCTGTTTTCCGAGGGGACTAGTTGCAGACAGAACTAATCCCCCCAACCCAGAATTATTCAAGGCATTTGAGTCTGGGCTTTGGTTTACAGAGTATGGGCTACATGTTGTACCTCAAAAAAATACATGAGATATAGATAGATAGATAGATAGATAGATAGATAGATAGATAGATAGATAGATGGTCTGAAGTCAAAACAGTGGAACGTAGTCTTGTTTTTATCAGCCTAGCAAGCAATGTGTTCACAGACACTATGCAGCTTTTGTGTTTACTATTGGGTAGTTTACCCCCATAACCCAGATCAGCTAGTAAAGAACATGCAGCCACCTCTATAACAAGTTTCTTGCTGTCAGCATAGGAACATATGCACTCACTTCCCATATGTCTTCCCTTTTACTCACTTGCCCACTGCTTCTTACTTAGGATGATCACAGATACATTGGTTATTCGTTTGGTTGTTTAATTGGCTGGTCTGAGACAGGGTCTCATGTATTCCAGGAGCTCACTATGTACCCTAGGCTAGCCTTTAATTCCTGTCCCTCTGTCCTCCCCATCCCAAGTGGTAGAATTACAGACATGTGTCGACATGCCCTTTCAACTGCTTTTGAAGAACAACAGAAAGTTCTGGTATACCTCCTCCAATGGAAATACACATGCTTAACGCAGGATGGTACTGACTTGAAACTCAGGAAAGCGAGCTTTGCTCTAGGATTCATGGAGATTTGTGGACACAGCTGAAACTGAGAGCCAGCCTGAGTTCTAGAATCTAGATAAACAATCCCTGACTTCAGTTGCTAATGCATTGACCCTGAGCCTAACCATCTGTATATTAGCATAATGCTGGTTTTGGGGGAGGGTTTTGTTTGTTTGTTTGTTTGTTTTTCCTTTTTGTTTTTTTTAAGACAGGGTTTCTCTGTGTAGCCCTGGCTATCCTAGAACTCTCTCTGTAGACCAGGCTGGCCTCTAACTCACAGAGATCCACCTGCCTCTGCCTCCAGAGTGCTGGGATCAAAGGCATGTGACATCACTGCCTGGCACATGATGCTGTTTTGACTGGGATTCAGGGAATGATACACCTTAGAAACTAGTATCATTCTCTCTGCAAAATGATGAGACTAGAAGAAGGTAGGAGGGATAAAACCCTTCAGGATACTCAGATGCCTAGAGCAGATAGAAAAGAGCTACTGAGATGTGGAAACCAGGAAAGCTCACACGCGTTCATTCCTCTGGTACCTCGCCCAGTGTGGGAGCTCCTGGTCAGAGACCTGCCTGTCACCCTTGCAGTTTTTGGATGAACTCTGCTTCTGTTGGCTTGTCTATGCTGGGCAGCACCTCCCATTGCTTAGTTCCTGGCCTGGGGATGCAGCTGTTCTTCCTCTGACCCATCCCTCAGAAGAGTGGGGAGGCCACAGTGAAGCATCGCTGTGTTAAATGGACTGTGGTCTCTGAGGTCCTCATCAGTTCACATAACCCAGCTTTTCAAAGTGCCTTGCTTTTTTTTTTCTGTAGTTGTCAGTTTAGTTTATACATATTTTGAAACTTATGTTCTGTGACAGTTGGTTGAAAATTGGCTTAGAGCCTCCAGCTTTTAGACTGTCGAGTAATCACCGTCCTGCCACATAATTTATGTACTCATGTCTCCTGGAAAGCAGAAGTTAAATTGAAGTAAGCATTTTTCTGTACTTGCAACATCTCTAATCAAAGCTTAACCCCCTTTTAGGCCATTTTCCCCCAAAGTAGATTTAAAAAAAAAAAAAAAGAAGAAGTCTACTTGCC